CAAAGTTTGAAAGTAGCGACGCTCTGAGACTACAGTACCAGTTTGTGAGCCAGATGGTTTCCAGCTCCATTTTCTTACTTGAGGAGTCAGCACAGCTTCTCAGAGCCACTAAAAGCCTGTAAAGAGGATATGTAAGAACATAAAACTGCCATACTGGAGGAGGCTGAAGGTCTGTTCACCCCAGCATCCTGCCTCTTGAGAGTGGCCTGTAGCTTTGCCTGAGCTGGGCGTGGTGCTTTATTGTCACTTACTGTCCTAGCCCTGTTAAATTACCTAAGTCCTTTTTGAACACTCTGATTCTGGCCTCCACAGGACCTTGTGGAAATGAACTCCACCATCAAATCTGGCACAGTTTGAGTCACCCTGCCCATACCAGTAGGATCCATTTCTAAGCACCTTTGTTTGCTGCACCATCCAAATAAAAGCTGAACTCCAGCAGGATCAGCACTAGAACTACAAGCACTCTGGGCGTGGAGAGTCCTTTTTGAACACTCTGATTCTGGCCTCCACAGGACCTTGTGGAAATGAACTCCACCATCAAATCTGGCACAGTTTGAGTCACCCTGCCCATACCAGTAGGATCCATTTCTAAGCACCTTTGTTTGCTGCACCATCCAAATAAAAGCTGAACTCCAGCAGGATCAGCACTAGAACTACAAGCACTCTGGGCGTGGAGTTCATTTGGTGACTGTTTCAGGCATATTCCTGAGGAAGCAATGAACAGGTACAACTGTGCAGCATATGTTTTGGTGTAACCTCTCAAGGTGTAGACACTTTTCTTCCATTGGTTTTGAACCATTACTTGATCACTTGAATACTTTCCTGAATTTTTTATTATGACAAATGAGAAATTATTGTCTATTCTGCTTAATATTATTAAATTAATTAATCATTGTCATATCAACCCTCTTTAAAGAGAAGAACCTTGACATGCTCTCCTCATATGGCTGCTGTTTCAAACCATATACCAATTTAGACACCTTTTTCTTACAGAATCTCTTACAATCACATCTCACAGCTCTCATTATCTCAGCCTGAGAGAAGAGAAGATACACGTGGACATTTGAAATCCTCTGACCCAGCACATGTAAGGCCACTGGTCAGCACTGTGATCCAGCTGCTGTGCAAGTTCTTCCACGGAGTTCTGCTGCATCCTCCCCATCCTGTTAGGCCAAGGTGATGCCAGAGTGAAGCTATAAAGTCTGTTTTGTCAGGGGTCCTTATACATCCAGAGCTGCCCCTCAACTCTGCTTCATTTTGCCTTCAACAATTTGTTCCTTGAGTAAGATTTTCATCAAAGTGCATGTCAGAAAACAATAGGTGATTTTTTTATAGTCTTCAAAGAAGGCACCTTTCAATGCCAGAACCAACAACGAGCAAACACCACGGGAGGGCAGGAGCCTGGCTGTGCAGCAGGGTGTTCATCCCTGCACGAGGACCCCTGGTGAGCCCCGAGGGGAGGCTCAGTGACAGCTCCCAGATTTAGCTGGGACACAAAGAGTAATCCCTGGCTCTAGGGTTACAGCTGCCACCTGCTGTGTGCATCTCCCTGTGACAGCTGGAGCTGCAGCACTCACCTGTCACCCTCGGGACATCTGGCTGGGAGTAAGCACAGCCTTTGTGGCAGGGCACTTCTCATTTTTGTTGTCTGGAGCTATCAAAACTGTTCCCTTGGAAAGTCAAGAAAAATGAGGAACAGGCTGTTGTTCGATACAGGTGCCTTGCATGGGAAGGCCTTTGAAATGACATTGAAATCCTGCTGTTTATCTGAAAATGTCCATACTGAGAAGGGGAGTGAGATCATTAGATGCTGCTGGAGCTGTCTGACGAGGTGGCTTTTGAAACAAGGTGCTCAGTTTGGTGCTGAAAAGCAGTGAAATGGGAGGCAGCGAGGGCAGCACGGGTGGCTGGGGGATGGACAGGCACTTCCCTTGCACAGCTGCACTGCAGCTCAGCAGCATCCACATCTGCTTCCAAGCTTTTCCAAAGAGGAATAGTTGTAGAAGGGATGATCTTCCTGTTAAATTTAGGAGGTGACTCATGAGACAAGAATCGATCTCCTCCTGCTTGGCATGTCAAGGCCTAAAAGGTAAATATTGACTGAGCCATGATGAGAGCAGGAAGTTGAGAATATTGCTGTCAGTCACCTCCTTCAGGCTTGGCTTACAGAGCCTCCCTCCTGACTGGGTTCCCTGTTCATTGCAGTTGCTGCTGTTAGGGCTAGAGCAGTTGAGGAGAGGATGGGGCAGTACCTGGGTTCTGAGCCTGTAAGGTCACTGCTGCCACACACAGCCTGTCAGTGGAGTCAGAGGCAACGGAGCTTTGCAGGTGCTGACAGTGCCTGAAGAAGAGATCAACATCCCAGCTCTGGGAGGGACACTTGGCATCTTTAGGCATCTACATGCATTCTAAAAGTCTGATCCTGGGCTTGCTGCACCTCACTTCCCATCTGTCCTCTGGGGGCACCAAAATGGTACATTCAGTAAGGGCTGGACGTGATCAGACCCTGGGGCAGGGAGTCTGCAGAGGGGTTTGAAATGGCTTTTAAATAGGAAATGTATTTGTACCTCCAGGAAGGCTGGAGAGGGGCTTTTCACAAGAGTCTGCAGCACAGGACAAGGGGAAATGGTTTTAAACTGAAGGAGAGTAGGTTTAGACTAGATTTTAGGAAGAAGTTCTTCAGCATGAGGGTGGCCAGACTCTGGACTGGATTGCCCAGAGAGGCTGTGGATGCCCCTCCCTGGAGGTTTAAAGCCAGGTTGGATGAGGCCTTGAGCAGCCTGGTCTAGTTGAGAGGGGTCCCTGCCCATGGCAGGGAGGTTGGATGAGATGATCTCTGGGGTCCCTTCCAGCCCAAGCCATCCTATGATTCTGTGATTTTTTAGCAGCATCTTCAAATGCTCTCCTAAGGCCTCCTTCCCTTCCACACTGTGCTGCCCAAACAGGCCCTGTGGGGAGGGTTACATTTCACAACATGAGCCAAAAAGTTGATGTTGTGGCATTTGTTTCTTCCCCCGAGTAGCGTCGCTGGGAATGTCGTTGACACAAGATATGCAGCCCACAGGCAACTCTGAATAAAGTAGTTGGCATCACTGGCTTGAAATGCAGCCTGTTCAAGGAAGGGGGAGTTAGGAGGGCAGAATGTTGCCCCTGGGGTCTCACACTGCTTGGAAACAAGAGAGCTGGGCTGCTGCAGCTCCTGTCTCTGCAGCGTCTCTGTGTCGGTTTCGATGCTATAGGTTGGACACAGAGTAAGTGCATAAAACAGCTCTGATGACATTCCACAAAACCTTTGATACTGAATGGCATGAAGTGAGAGTGGCCAATGGACGTGTCCTGCTGCCCAACCGTGCAGGTGTTCCTGCCTTTCCTACCCTCTGCCACGACACCTCTTCACCACATCTGGCATTTGCACCTTTTGGCCTCACAGGACATAGTGCGTCGTTCAATAGTGATGCTGGAGTTAGGATGTGAACCTTTGCCTGTAAAGTTTCTAAGACTATTTCTTTAATCCTGGGTTGAATCATTAAACTCGTTACTTCATAAGGCTCCAGTTTATTTGGGCAATCACACCAAAGGAAGTGAATTTAGCCTTTAGTCTCATCTTCCCAGGACTGAGAACACCCGAAAGTGTGCTCACTCATGGTGAGAGCAGCTGAGTTTTGCTTCTGGGCAGCCTTTCTCTGGCAGTGCTCTTCAAGTCAGGACTTCCCCATACCATTCACAGTCTAATTGCTTATTCCTAAAAATGGTTTCAGTTCTCCTCTAAAACCAATGTCATCAGACACACTTTCACCACACCAGTGGAAGTCAACAGGCTGAACTGTGCTTTCATCCTAACAAAAAACAATGGCCTCCTCTGTGGCCTGGATAAATACCATTTAGCTTGCTTTTGGTCAAGGTGCAGTGCTAGAGGAGTTTTTTTCCCAGTTTGCACTGGTTTTGGTTCACTGCAGCCCTGGAGGTGGGTGTGCTGGTAACAGGAGCAGAGGGAGGCTCTGCAGTCCTGGTCTCCTCTCCCTGATGCAGATGGGGCGTGTTCCTCACGGAGAGGGTCGGTGAAGGGTGAGAGGAAACAGCTCAAGACCTCCCAAGTCTCCTTTGTAGATTGCTGAGTGCATGAACTGTGATAAGTGTAAATTGAGATTGAGGGCTGAGCTGAGCTTGGTGTAAATCCTCACATGCCTGCCTACATGGAATGGGATCCCAGCTGCTTCATCCCTGGGGATGTCAAGGGAAGAAGAGAATGTGTGACTATTTCAGAGAAAGAAATGGGCAGCACTTAAGAAATTTGTCAGAAATATGTCAGAACTGGGCCAAGACTGCACTAATCTGGTGCAGAGGTGGAAAAGGCTTTGTCTTTGTATGAGCGTTAAAGAGCTCAGGGGGCAGGGGAGCTGCAGTTTCACAGAACTGCTGCCTCAGGAGCTGCTGCCACAGTTTCAATGACTGCTTTGAAGGCAAAGTCTGAAAGTAGCCCATTGTATTGCACAAATCATATATCCAAGGGCAGAACACCTATGTATATTTGATTCTATTACTGTATCATGATACATTTAATTCTTTTAAGTTTGCATACTTCTGCACCTGGATTTCTTTAAAGGGTGGACAGATCTTGGACCTGGATCTTTGGTGGTGGTAAAGAGCAAATAGAGCTTCTGTTGTGAATTTTCCTAACCTTTAACTGAATCTGGAATTTGAACTTGAATCTCAACTCAGCTTTTAAAGTAGTCCAATATAGAATAGATTTCAAGACTAGGGATGAAATAAAGGCCTGTTATTTAAGTGCAGAGATAGAGTATTGCAGCATACCATGAGGTAATTATACCAGTGAAGGTGCCTATCACCAGGAGAGAACAGTAGTGGGAGCAGCCTGACATCTCTGTGCCACGTTAATACATCCAGGGTTAGTGATGTTTATTTGCATTGCACTCTTTGCAGGGTAGGCTACTATTTCATGCAAGCAAACATAAGCTGGATTTTAATATCATCAAGTCATCCTAATAAAATTCTGTGTTTTCATCCTGATCCCACAGTACTTTTAAGTTCAAGTCTTTGAAGAACATAGTGAGGGGTGTGCCATGGTCCCAGTCTGAGATGGTGTCTGGGGACGCATTATTCAGTTCTGTGCAGCCTGGCTCCTTTGTTGCCATCAATGTTTCTGATTCTGGAGTCTCTGGGAACTGCAATTTGTTTGCAGAATGTGAGAACGAATCTGGCAACATCCACTGCTTTGTGTTGCTCTCTCCAGAGAAGCTGTGGCCAGGACTGACTGACAAAAGGAAGGCTGCTGGGAGAGACGACAGCGGTTCGTCCTCTCTGATGTAGTCTGTGTTAACTTTCACTGAAGACAACAGCTGTGGTGGTTGTGCTGTCTGCTGTCTGTAGCATCCTCCTTGTTCCAGCAAAGACAGTGAGAGCTGAGGCACGTGCTCTTTACTCTCCATCCCATCAGGCTGCAGCAGCAGTTGCTGTGTTTGCCCAGGGCCCCCCTGCGAGAGAACCGACTCAGTTGTGTCACTGCTATTCCACAGTGCCAAGTTTGGCTTTTGTTCTTTGTAATTCCAATGGCTGCAGCTCTTGTCCAGCATCTGGGTTATGAGCATTCCACCAACAAAACTATCTGGAGAAACATCCTTTAGCATTTGGGTTGGCTGCAAATTCTTCTTGTCAGCACGGTCTGTGCCTTCGCCGCACACCCCATAGGTTAGGGGCAGAGACTTGCTGGACGTGGCAGTAGGAAGACTTTGCTTGCCTGCTTGAGGAGCATAACAGGTAGGAGCTGGCCCTGCCAAGCAGGCTGGCTGCATGGGCAGCTGGAGTGCTGGTACCTCTGCCTGTTGCTGGTACGCAGTGTCTGGAAGGTGGAAGGACCGTAGTGGCTCCAGTGCTCTGTCCAAGTGGTGGCTGATCTGTGGTAGCTGCACTTCAGGGATGAGAAGTGGAGGTTTGGGTAAACTAATGGGCTTTATAATATGCTCCACTGTCAGTGTAAGAGGCTGGAATGGTGAAATCCCTCTGAAGTCCTGTTGAAGTAGGTAGACAAACACAAGTTACTAACAACAAGCCATGACTTTAAAGGTTTGCTTTAGATTCTTTAATATTTTCTTTGGAGAAATATCAGTAAAAGCTGGTAACAGCCACCAGGGATCTGCTCTGTTGACAGAACAACTCTGTTTTTTTTCCTGGGGAGTGACCCTTCAGAGGAACACAGACATCTCTTGTTGGGGTTGGACTAGATGGCCTTTAGAAGTCCTTTCACACCCCATACATTCTATGATTCTATGCATCAGGGCAACTGCGCAATCCTAGAACATGAGGAAGAAAAATTCCTGCTTTATTTTTCACAACATTTCCCCTAAGCCCTGGAGCATGGCAACAGATTGCCCTTCAGCTCCCTCAGCATGCAGAATTGGTGCTTGCTGCAGGAGGTGAGGGATGGGGTAAGAAGGCCCAGGGCTTCAAGATGAGCTGGTGACTTCAGAGCACTTACCAGAGACATGGGCTGTGCACCGTGTTGCTTGACATATTTGTAGATCCCATAACTGACAGCAGCAAAGACCAGGCCAGCACAGAACGCCAGTGGCACAAAGCAGTACAGAAGCCAAGTGTTGTCTGGTGAGGGGGAAAGAGCACAATTGGAAAATGTAGCTTCAGAGCTTGGATTAGAAAAGCCACGTGAGATTAGCTAAATGATGTTAACAGTCTGGTCCCATAGGACTGGATTTTGAGCTGAGGAAAGTCAGTGTTGCTTCAATATCTTTAACAAGGCCAGTTTATCTTAGACCAGCTGAAAGTACGTCTTTGTATATCCAATATCCCAGTTAACAGCCTCACCTGCTAGTGTTTTGACCCAAAACACTTGAGCTTTGCTGCTTTTCTGGAGGAGAGATATAGATACTGTTCCATTATATTCAGTGTCTGGGTCCAAGTTGGAAACTTCAAATTCTTTGTTGTTCTCGTTCTTTGTCCACTATTTAAAATAAAGGCAAATTCTGTATTTTAGAAAGATTAAATGCATACATTTTATTCAAATCAGATTGCAAAACTTAACATAAAATGTTATTTACTAATAAGGTGTTCCAGGACTACAATAATTCTGTCTAATGGAATTCTAAATATATAATTTGCTTTCTACTGTTGCTGTATTTTGGTTTTGTGTTTCAGTTTCTTAAGACTTGAACTAATGAAATCGTTCTCTTTTTTAGTCACCAGTGGTTTTACTTTGTGCTGCTTATACAGTACCCTTAGAAACACGAGTTTCTTTTTCTAGAATTTTAGGGGAATGCTTAAAGTTCCTCTTGTCTGCTGAGACAAGACTCTGAAACTTTCTCTTGTACATCAGAAATCTCATCCATTGTGTATAAGCTCTCGGGTCCTTCTCCATCATACATGAAATGTAGTTTACAAAAGTCAGTGGGCTCGTGGCCCGAGGTTGTGATTTACCTTTTGGTGTGTCCTTTGGTTGAATATTGTTAATTGATAATCAACAGCACCAAACTTGCTATAAATGTCCTCTATGGTTAGCTGGCGGTCATCCTCACCCCTCAGCGGAGTGTAGGGGGGGTGTATAAGAAACTTTATGGACCGTACGTATGGAATATACTCCACTTCTGGTGCTCCAATAATAGCTAGAAAAGACAGAAGAGGCAGTGTCAGCTGTTAAGATTAAAGCTGATATGTTACCAGATCATCTTATACACAAATTGTACACACCCCCCGGACTCGCTGTCAGTTCTTGCTTCTGTTTATACACAAACAGGTTTCTGAGCTGTATTCCACTGGGTGCAGGAAGGAGAAGGAAGATGGAGATACCATCTCCTTCAGCATTCTGCCACCTCCAGCCTGTGTTTGTCCCTAGAAGTTCTCCCCCCAAGCTTTTCCTGAGGAGTGTGTTCTTACTGCTTCCAGGGCACTTCTGTTTGCTGCACGGGGACACCCTCCTCACACGTGTGTGCTGAGTGTGAATCCCACCACTAACTGCCCCAAAACTCTGTTCCCATCCTACCTCAGGTTTTGTCTTTATGGTACTTCAGCTCTTTTGTCTCTACACTTTCCTTCAGTGCAGGGCATATTCTAGGCCCAGCATTTAAACAGAGGTTTAACCCAGTCTCTACAGCACCTTTTAAAGCAGCATTCAGGATTTCTCCATGACCACATAGCCTGGAAACACTGAACTGTCAAGAATGGCTCTGAGGGAGGGGTCACCTCACCCCGGGTGCTAGTGCCTGTGCTGCACTGCAAAGCAAATGTTCCATGATCAAAGCAACTATGGCTCTTTCATAGTTTATTTTGTGGAAAGATCTGAAAGCTCTTCATAACCATTGACTGCTCATGCCACCTCACCTTACTCTTCACAGTATGCAGTGGGAAGATCTTAGTGACAGAGCCAATAAGGCTCCCAAGGGCCAGGCTGTGTGTCTGCAGCAGAGCCTGCTTAGGGGGTGGGAACATTAAAAATCCATTGGTCTGGCTGCTTAGCCAGATTTTCAGGATTTCCCATTTCACAGCTTGTGTGACTATTACTGACTGTCTTCAGGTTGCCCATCATGTCTCTTATTGACTTCCTTCTGCCTCTCATCAGCCTTAATAACCAGTTCTTCCTCTGAGGACATCTGACTTTTCCTTTTCTCCTCTAATCCCACGTTGGTGTCAGACCTCAGGGAGGGCACTGCCTATTTGCTCATTTGCCTCCTTGCCCAGTAACAAGCCTTCCTATCAATCACAGAGCCTTGCAATGCTGAAACAAGAGGAAATAGCATCCTGAACCTCAGGAGGGCCTGGAGTGCCTCTCTAGCGCCCTGGGGTGGGCAGGTAGCAGCAGAGGTACGTACTCTCTTTTCGGGGTTCAAACCTTTCCGAGGGCAGCCAGGAGGAGGAGCAGGAGTGGCCAGTGGCCCTCACCCTGGCGTAGTAATGCTCCGAGACGTTCTCTGTCTCCCTGCTGAGGTTGCAGAAGGGCTGTGTGATACTCTGGCACTCCCGCTTGTTGAGCCAGGATTTTTCTCCATACCTTAGGACAAAAAAAGCTTTTAGTCCGTGTAGAACAGAGGCAGTGCAGCCCTTCACCAGAACGATCCAAACGGGCTGTGTTGTCAGCTCTTAGTATTTTTTCACTTCATTCCTGCAGCCAGCAAGTGGTGAGGGATGGAATGGCAGAGAAAGTTTCCCCAGAATACAGCCCTTGCTCTGATCCCGTGGGTGGCTTCTGTGTGGATATTGCCCTGTCAAGTGGGGCTTGTTCCAAGGCAGGAGTGTCCTTTGAGTCAGGGACTCTGGGGTTCTCTGCCCAGCTCTGAGGCTGATGACTACTTGCAGGTTTGCTGCAGAGTCTGTGGACTTACCCAAAGGCAACAAAGCTCTTGGGTACTGCTGGCCTGATTTCTCTTAGCTGTGATGGCTGAACCAGAGGACAGTTGCTGTTACCTGTACTTACAGGTGAGGAAACTACAGAATAGAGAAGGAAGTTGTTGCAGTCAAAGAGTAGCTCAGTAACGGAGTAAAACTGCCAAACCAAGATGTAAAAGTATTTGCTTAACTGAGCATCACCCACCAATTTAAATAATCCTGTCCTTTACTGTGTTCTTGTCTAAGCAGAACCATTTCCATAAGAGCAGAATAAAAAGCAGAAAGAACAAAATCTCCTTTTCTTTCCTGGCCCTTCTGTCTCTGAGAACAGTGGCCCTAAGAACAAGAGAACCCCAAAAAGAAGCAAACTTCACGTACTGTTTATACTGGACATCAAATACAGTGCCAGGGGGAATATTTGCTTCTGTTTCCCATGTCAGGATGTTCTCGAAGTTTGTAGAAGAGAATGCTGCACGTTTCAGACATGATGATCTCTCTGTAGTCACAATGCCTAGGGGAGGAAACTCGTATTAAAAGGCATATTCTGGCATCCTGCCTTCAGATGAGTGTGGGTCCAATGCTGCTCAGCCTTGTAGGGAACAGAAATCTCAGGCACACCACTTCCCATTTGCTGGATGGGCTGCAAAGCAGAAGCTTGAACAGAACAGGAATTCAAATGCACGCATCACTGTGTACACCTTGCAGATTGTTAACTCATCCCAAAGAAATATAAGTCAGGAATTTTCACAGGAAGGTCTCAAACACTCAGAAGTCAGAAAGAGAATCCTTGAGTTCCTTATCAGATCTCTTTTACAGCAGTGAAACGACTGGAAAACTAAGAACAATACTGTGTTTTCAAAGCTGATTCATGTCTGTGACTGTCTCTGCTTTCTGCCTGGCCTCAGGGAAACGATAGCCTGAGATCCGTTTGGTTTCATTGAGGATGTGACTGCCATTAACCTCTCGTGCTCCTTGTTTTATTGGATGGAGACTCCCTGTACAGGGCAACACGCAAAGCCCTGGTGACCTGGACTCTGATCTGGGTGTGCCAGCTGGAGGCAAACAACTCGCTCAGCTCCCTGCTTTGTGAGCCATGTGCCTCTTCCCACAGCAGATGGTTCTGGCTTTGGTAAGCAGTAATGTCACTTGCCCCTGACAGACATGGCCCTGCTCTGAGCTGCCCCTGTAGAGTGCCCTGGAGACTTCTGGCAAAATGTATTTTCGTGTATTCCATATGAATACACAGTGCAAACTTTTCTCACAAGACCTTCTAACTTGCAGAGTGAACTTCAGAATTTGTAAGCTCTGTAAATTCTAATTTATAAACACACCCTGAAAGGCAGATCATTTATCCATTCCTCAGCTCTTGCAGTATTGATAAACACTTCAAACATGTGTGGGCTTCAAGCTGTACTTGCTGAAAATGAACAGTCCTGTTATGGTGCTTGTAATTGGACACAAACTCAGTGAGTCCCCCCATGAAACAATGGTGTGATAAGTGAGGTGGCACCATTTTACAGATGGGAAAACTGAGGAGCAGAATGGGGGTGACTTGAACAAGATCCCATTGAGCAGCTGTGGTAAGGCAGGGACTAAACCACAGCAGTTCCTGGATCCTTGCTCCAAGCTTTCCCTCCAGCTGCCTCCATGGAGGAGAACCAAGGGACAGCAGTTTAATGTAGCCTGCTCTAGAGGAGGAGAACTGGGCAGAAGGGCAGAGATCCAGTCCTCAGTCTCGTTGTGGATGGCATTTGGGCAGGGAAGCAGCATGGAAATGGGTTGGACTCTAGTGCAGCTCTTGTCCTGACTCCTGTGCAGTTCAGCACTCGCCTCTGCTCCTGCAGGGCTCCTGGCGAGGCAGAAATGGAGTGGTCAGTCCAGAGGGGGTGGGTTTCCCTGTCTGAGCACCGTGACAGCTGAGTCACCAATACCCTGATCGTATCAGAGGAAGGAGATCTCCATCTTCCCCCTTTTATCCACACTAAAACACGGCTATGCAAAGCAGCACTAACACAAGCTCAGTCAAGTGTGGGCAGGGAAAACCCGCCAGGATAGTTCACAGTGTGCAAGTCCCTCTGTGTTAGAATTTCCTCAAGTAGAAGATCCTTCCCTCTAGTACAAGATCACAGGCACAAGAGCAGGTCAATGGTAAGGTTGCTTGCTGAAAAACTGGTTTTTGAAAAAGCAAGTTTATCCATCATTCACCCAGGAGTGACTTTGCCACATCTGGAGTAGGATTAAATGGCTTTTAATGGTACATTATTTGTTTGTACCTCCTTTAAAATCAGGGCTGTTCTTGTATTCATTTGCTGTTCCTCTTAAGACACAGAGGGACTGATCCAAAGCCCCCTGAAGCCAAGGAACACCCTTTACTCCTGTAGGGTTTGGGTTGTAACATCAGTGGCAAACGCTTTAAAGCAAAGGAATCTTTTCTTCTCCTTACTAATCCTTAAAGCACTGAGCACACCCACACTTTGAAAATATGAAAAGGAGAGAGCCACACAGAAGAAAGCTTTTGAACCCCCAGACAACAGCCCATTCTTTAGGTCTTGTTTCAGTAAACATGATTGAACTATCATCTCCCATCAAGCAGAAACACGGTCAGTGATAGGGAAGGAGAAGTCAGGACTTACCAGCCGCGGAAAACACAGCCAAGGCGACCAGAAGTTGCTTCATGAATAACTACACAGTCAGGGCTGGGAGAGCAGCGGCTGATCCCTCCCGTGTGCAGGTGAATCACCTTTTACAGGAGCTCAGTTCTTGTTGGGGAGGCCGGGCTGGGTTTGTTTCTCAGGCAGAGGCTGCAGAGCTGCTGTCCCGCCTGCGCTGGGCGCTGAGCTCACCACCTCCAGCCCTGCGCGCATGTGTGCGGGTGCCAGGCGTGCACACCTAACTGTACAAAGGGGCACAAGCCAGAGGCTTAGAAAATCCCCAGCTTTTGAAAGGGAGCCAAATACCATTTGGCTGATAGAGAGCTTCCTGCCTGAAAGCCCTCGCTGAGAGTTCTCAGGTTTGGGGCTTGCTTTTCTGGTCGGGTGACTTGGACGTGGTAAAACTCTAGATATTAAAACTTAGTGTTGTCCACCTAGATAGCTTCCTAAATGCTGCAAGCAAGATACCTAACTCCTTAAGAAATGCCTTCAAATACTTTCTCAAAATGAAAATGAGCCAGATGATGAGTTTTTAAGCTCTTCTGTTGTTCATACTGGCCTGGAATGGGAGCCAGGTGAGGGGCCCATGGTCCTGCTGCACGCTGGGCAGAGCAGAGCTCCTCTTGTCTGCTGTGACTCTGCACTCCGGGCAGCTGCAGAAGTTCTCTCATTGAGGTGGAAAGGAGGTAGCCACAGGAGGAGCACGTGCTGTCTTGTGGCTTTTCTCAGATGCCACTGTAGAGCTACAGTTTATTTTTGTGGCTGCTCCATGATATAAGGCTTTGTTCTGGGATTCGTGGTAAGAACTGGGAGTTTGGATGAAAACTGCAGCAACAGGACAAGGGGTAATGGTTTTAAGCTAGGAAAGGGTAGATTTAGGTTAGACATCAGAAAAAAGTTCTTTAATATGAGGGTGGTTGATCACTGGAACAGGTCACCCACAGAGGAGGTGGAGGCCCCATCCCTGGAGACATTCAAGGTCAGGCTTGATAGGGTCCTGAGCAACCTGACTTGGCTGGTTAGAGATGTCCCTGCTTATTGTAGTGGGGTTGGACTGGATGGCCCTCAGAGGTCCCTTCCAAGCCAACACATCCTGTGATTCCATGATTCTAAGCAAGAAAGAAATACAGTTCCTTTTCCATAGAGTTCTTAATTTTTTACAGTGTTGTTAAGCTACATTTCCAGGCTTTTCTCTGAAAAGGGAGAAACCTTTCCTTCTTTCATCAGAAGAGAAAACCAATGGCCTGTTTCCAGGAGGTGCAGATTTAGACCCCTAGACGTGTAGAACAGCTGAAGAACTGGTACAGCTGCATGCTGCTGGTTTTACCAAGAAGTCCAAAGCAGAGAAAGCTTCACATGTGCAGCCTGCCTTTGAGGCTCAGGAAACTCCCTCACCTGCTGCTTTTGAATTTTTACAGCATAGATATTCCCTTGACACAAGCTGGATAACCTCCCTGGCTTATTTCTCTGGCTTATTTATCCTGTGGTCATAACTGCTCAGAAAATGGGGAGGTCCTGTCCTCAGTCCTTGGTTTTGCCTAGGACTGACTGGACCATTGCATAAAGCTGAGGTTCCACCAAAGGAAAACCAACTGGACTGAGCACTGAGAACCATTCAAATTGTGATTGCTTCAGCCCTAGAAAAGCTTTAACAGAAATACCTGCCCTAGACCACAGAGGACAACAGTGCATTAGGCACATTCCTTATGAGCAATGCTCTTGTGTTGTCTAAAGCTCCTAAACACAAGGATTTTTTTCTTATTATTACAAGAGAGTCCCATAAGCAACATCTTGCCAATTCAATCAAAATACAAATCCTGCATGTTTTTGTCCTTGGGGCCAGACACATGATAGGAGTGACTGCTCCTTCTTCTCACCTCTTCAGCCTTGCTCTTCTTGGAGCTGTTTCTATTCCCTACCCTGCTTTGATATCTACAGGGCTGTAGGCTTCAAACCATGGCACTGGTATGTAGCTGTCATGTTGTCTTTCTTCTCTTACCTGGAGAGGTGCAGAAGGCTCACAGGTTTATTAAGCCAGACACACCTCTCCACCAGCATGGCCTACATCTAATTAACTACAACTCATTGTGAGGGTGGTTCCTGAGTAGCTTGTTAAAGTATTTCCATCTTCTTCCTTCCCTTACGTCACTGCTGTGTGATGACCCATGACAGGGAAGAGGTAAGGGAGGTTGTAGTGAACCTGAGACTTTAGTTTTGAGAATAAAACTTAGAACTTCATTTCTGTCCTTGTTTCTAGAGAGATGTTACCTCTTGAATGGCTCAGGTACCTGAAGATCTCTAAAAGTCTGCTGCCAAGTTTAAAGTCAAACACTTGGTTTCCAACTTCCAAACTGTAGAGCTTGAGCCTATGTCAGAAGGTAGTTCCTGAGGACAGAAACACATCTGAGAGGATCATAGCACAGATTTTCAGTGGAACTCTACTTGGTACTGTTGGTAGAGCTGGGGAAAGAGGAGAAAAACCTTGTGTGCAAGAGATCTGTGAAGATAATAGGTTGAAATCAAAAAGAGCAGGGTGGTTGTTGTCTCCTCTGAGCTGCTGCAGGTCTCAGGCTCTGATGCAGTGGTGCAGGAGGTTTGGGTCCAGCTCTGGCCCTTGCACAGCAGGTGAGCAGTGTGCAGGGGTTTGGCTGACTGGCCATGCCTCTGGCAGGGAGAGGGGAGAGCTGCTCTTCCCACTGCACAGCTACAACTGGTAAGTAAGGTGGGAGTTACAGACTGATTGCTCTGGAGGAGGGAGCACTGTGCTCTGGCCATCCCTGGCCCTTCTGGAGTGGAAAGCAGGTCTCAAATCCTGTGAGTGAAAGCGTGGAGGAGCAGGATGCTGCCTGCCCCAGTACAGCCCAGCTGGCCTGCAGCCTTCCCCCAGCTTCCAGCCTGAGAAAACCTGGATGAGACAAAGAACTCATCCCAGGCCCTGTTAGCAGAGCTGGGACACATCAAAGTAATTTGTAGAGATTACACAACTTCAGAGCTTCCTGTAACTCAAAGCCTGGGGTTTTTTCCTTGATTGCACAAGAAGATGGGTGGTGATTATATTTGGATGATCTCTATCTTCCTAAATGAACAGGAGGGATTACAGTGCAGGATGTATCTGAAGACACTTTGTGGAAGACAGGCAAGAAAAAAAAGGAAAAATCTAGTGGGTGAATCTTTTCTCCCATCTCCCCTTTTACTTCAGTTCAGGTCCTTAATTAGTACATCTTGCTTTTCTCTTCCAAAGCAGTTCCCAACCCCTCCTATCACCCCCTGCCTCTTTCTCATAGTGTTCTCCTGATTCTCCAAAGACATCAGCTTTAATAACCTCCATCAAAACCCCTCCCTCATCTGGGAAAACCCTCTCTGAATGCAGTGAATGGCTGTTGTGTCTCCCTCTTTCTTATAAGGCTTTGCTTTTCTGCATGTTCTGTTACTGGAATACAACAGAGTATGTTTCTGTGATATGGGAAGAGAGCAAATTAAAAATACACTGAAAAGGTCACTAGTGCCCAGTCAAGGGAGGCTTTGTCTCTCCTGTGCCTTTTGCTGGTGGACTTGTGATTTGATTCTTTGCTCAGAGTGTTGGTCACAGTCCTGGTCTTTGAGAGACCCAGAGGGACCTGGCTGGGAAGTCTCAGAGGATTCCATTCAAACCAAAGCATCAGGAAGCCCATGGTGGGGCCCTGTTTTAAAATGTAATGATTTTCACACTTCCTAGCTCTGGGGAACACAAAAACACACACACGTGGAGTTATGTATCAAAATGTTATTGCCTCTGCATAAAGCAGCTCAGACATTCTGCACAGCAGGAGGAGTTTCAGCATCAATAAATACATTTGTATAAAACCCAAAAATAAATACATAAACAAACACACTGCACATTCCTCACTTTGGCTTCAGTGCACTAGCTTGGAACACAGAAGGTGATCCCTGCAGGCTGAGGTGGACATGTCTTCCTCCCACAGAAGGTGAAGGTTGCTGAGTGGCTCTGTGAGGTGCCTCCAGTGGAGCAGGGGCACAGGCTGGCACTGACAGGGACGTGAGTGTGATGTCAGCAGGTCCCCCTGGCTCCAGATCAACAGGCAGGGATGACACTCTGTGTTTGCAGAACCCAGCTGGTGCTTTCACACAGGTCTGGGTTCTGCTTTTGCTTTCTCAGGGGTGGTTTTGCCTTCACCTTGCTCTGAGGGCTCTCTGAGGGTGCTGTGTTTGCTGTGTGATGCCTACAGGAGGTGTCACTGCTTGCCTTGAACCAGAGCCTGGACACCTCACCACAGGGCCACTTACAGGGGCATGGTGAACACACACTAGTTGCTTAGCAGTAAAACACACCTTTTGTATCCCTGAAGCCCTATAGCTTGACATCAGTAATAAACCCTCTTGTTAGGTGAATAAATACAAAAAGCACCACTTTGTGCTTGTCCTTGTTTAGGGATCCTCCTTGCCTGGGTGCCTGGGGCTCTCCAGCATTTTCCAGGCACAGCACAGAGCTGCTAGGGTCCTCTAGATCCTTCCCACGTAATATGTGTGCTCAGGGGCTTTGAATTGAAATTTTTGATCATATTCTTCCTCCTTATTTGACGTTTCATATGCATCACTTAGTCCTGTGGAGGTGGGAAGTGTCCCTTCTGCAGAATCATTGCTGTCACAGTCACTTGCAATGCCTTCATCTTCTGCCACCTGCAGTGTCTGAAGGGAAACAACCAGCTTGGTGCTGGGATGCTCCCTGAGCTGTGATATCTCACCCATCTGGACATGAAGATCAGCTGCTGGTTTCTGGGAATACTGGGGGAAATGATGAGCCTTCCTGTGCAGGCAGTGCTCACTGCCTGGGTGTGTGGCATGCATCTCCTCCATCAGTGTTTGAACAGGGGTCATCTCCAGGCATTCATCCCTGTCTGTATCATGCTGTCCATGTTCCCTGGGACCTGGGAATCTTACATCACTGAGGGATAGTCTTCCCAAAGAGGAACTGTAGGAAAGTGATGTCTTCTCAGTTCCTTGGGAGTCTGAGGTGTCCACCTCGTTCTTCCTCATTGGGAAGTAAGAGAAACCCAAGGTGCTTAGGTCCAGCACAGAGCCACTATCCACAGAGAGTCCTCCAGATCCAGAGTCCAAGCTGGACTCCCCCTGAGCTGTTCTGGGGGGTTGGCAGTTGGGAATCTTTGGAAAATGAAGCATTTCAGTGTATGGGATGAAAGTACTGCTGTCTTCCTCCTCCTCCTCTGATGATGATGATGATGATGGTGATAGGAAAGAAGCCACCTCTGGTGGGTTGTTTCTTGCTACAGCTTTGTTTGTCTTCCTTTGTGACACTGGTTTCTCTGTGCAGATAAGGTAGTCCCTGAAGAATTCCTTTTCACTGAGCTCACAGTGAAAGGCTGGTCCAGCTGCTTTTAAATGAGAGACATCCTACCAGGGATAAGGAAGGAGACACACAGATCAGTGAGATAATGATGCTTTTGGAAGAAAAGTTTGGCTAAAGGAAGACTTGCTTGTCCCTCCCTCCTCCCCTGTTACTCTCTGAAACCCAGGAGGACAGTGAGTCAGGAGAGGACCCCAGCACCTGGGCCATACCAAGGCATGAGGCATCTCCATTTGCTTGACATCTTGTTTCAGCCAGCAGATGATGAAGGGGCTGGTCAGAAAGATGGAGAAGATAACCACAGGGATCATGGTAGAAAGTGGGAACTTCCATTGCACTGCTGAGAAAGGAAAAGACAACAATCATCTCCTGCTAGTGGTATATTTTGTTGCAATAACAGGCTGTTATACACAGCTTTTCTTTCAGACAACTCAGAAAACGTTAGGCTTAGGATCCTCATTTTATAAATACAAAGGACTTGCCTGAGATCAGACTCCTAAGTCAGAGTCACAGCCACAAATGAATGTTGATACCAACCAGTGCCTTACCTGGAGCAGGTAAAACATGAGGCTTCATTCACATGTCTTTCAGGATAAATTTGAATATTGACAAAATTTCATTGTGAGTATAACTCCAGTAAAATATTTCAGGATGTTCAGAAAATATTTCAAGGTTGGATGTTTTTACTGAAGCTGTTTCTACAGAAAGCAGGAAGTTTCTCTGGGAAATCCAACCACTCCATTTAACAGAAAGCCCATTTTTAGGGTTGAATGTTGGTGGAAAAGCTTGACTGCCCCAGTCCCATTTGATGTCTCAGCACCTCCTTCCCTCAGCAGGGCCATACCTTTGTGGTTTAGGAGCACACACACTGGGTGGGAGAATCTGCTGTGCTTGAAATCAATGCTTTGGAAGGAAGATCTGGCACTTAAACAGTAGTTGCCTCGAAGTGCAGTGGTGTCAATAGTCACAGCTTTCTTCCTAAAGATACCTTCATATTGCTTCTGTTTAGAAACAAAAAGAACAGAGGGTTGGAAAGCTGATTCCTTCATTGTCTGGGTGGTGTTTCTCTGCCTTTTTAACCCCTGATCCTCTTCATTGTGCTGTGTGGCTCCAGTGGTTGGAAGGTGCATGGAGAGGCACTTTGTGTCTCACTTGTGGTGTGTAGCAAGCATCTCTCCCAGGGCTCATGGATTCTAGGGTGGGATTTCCTGCAGGTGCTGTGCCCTCTTCTGCCACAGCATGCTGTTAGCAGAACCTGAATGAGTTGTTTCCACCTCAGATATTGCCCTGTAATAGTCACTATAGTGTAGCCTCCCCATCACATCTTCCTGATAAAACCAGGAAACTACCAACAAAATAAAGATGCACACACACATCTCTATTTCTTTTCTCTGGCTTGGGTTAGTTGTGATTTGGCCATTTCATGTTCTCCAGGTTCTAGACCCAGCCCCTCCCTGCCCAGAAATTTGAAGCTGTTTTCACTTCAAGCTGGGCATCATTCCTCCATTTCATCTAAGAAGCTTCCCTTTCACTGACCTTGTCTTCAGATCCAGCTTCCCAAAGGTTCAAGTCGTACATCCAAGGGAAACTCTCCACACAGGTGGCCAAAGGGAAGGAGGCATTCACATGGATGAAGTTCTCCTTGACATTCACATTGAGCACTGGGGGGGCCAGTTCCACTGCAATGGAGGAACCAAATGTGAGAATAGTGCTCACTTGTGTCTCAGCTTCAGAGAATTAGGGCTGTGCTGTCACTGAGCTACACTTCTGTTATCTTGTGCTAGACAGAAGGAAGGAGGAAAGCAAAGGAATATCTCTTTTTTATCTACCATACCCCTGCTGGTGTGTGGAAAGCTTTGGAGCCAGTTTGTTCACCTAGAGCATTGAAGAACAAATTCTGATGCTACAAAAATGATTTTCAAATGCTCATGACTTGTTGGTTGCTCTCCCTCAAATCTCTGCCATTCATAAAGCTGCTTGTTGCTGTTTCTCTTTCTGTGGTGTGCAGTCTACTCCTTTGCTGGTGCCAACACTGTTGTTGGGATGTCCTTTCACCCAGGCTGTAACCTACCAGACACTCACCATCCAAGTGGTATTCCTTGAATTGTGATTCTACCCACGGCGACTGGAGTTGTCCAGAAAGGGTTTTCACTCGAGCTCGGACTTTAACAAAGAAGTTTGAAAGCACACAAGTCAGATTGCAGGAGGTTCTGATAATATTTTTGCAGTGAGGAACCTTTATCCATTTGTTCATACGTTCCTGGCTAAAAGAAGAAACAAACATACCATAATATTAAACATTATTAAACATATTATTTGTTATAATCCACAGAGCAGGAGAAGGAGGTGTTTTGGAGGCTGGGTACTGTGTCCTGCTCAGAGCTCAGAGCACTTTCCAGGGAGTTAGGGTTTGGTTTTGGTGAAGGGATGCAGCCAGGCCACTGGTCACAATGACATGATGTTTGCCCTGTGCCAGCCTGCCCCTCAGACATCCTTTGTCAGCACTTACCTTTCATACCTCACAGTGTATGTCACATTTGGTGGAGAGCCTTCTCCTGGAGTCCATGTCAAAATCATGTCAAAATCTTTTGACAGCAGTGTAACGTTCTGAGGAGCAGGAAGCTGAACGTGACCTGATTGAGAGGGAAAATTGCATAAATTATTTAAAATATCTTTGGGGATAGGAAACATCACCTGGTTTTGACCAAAGTGGTTTCAAAATTTGTGGCAGAGCTACTCAGTTCATTTAAGACTGGAAGCTGGCTGTGGAAGCAGGTATGTCTGTGATGCAGTCGTGTTTCCCTCATCTTTTATAAAACATCTTTATCTCAACAGCTTTTAGAATTAGGACTGACATTTGTGTGAACCTTCCTGTGCTGAAATTCTGAGTGGCTTCCCCCATGGTCTCACTGGATTTCACTGTCCTCTGGTTTACAAACCCACAAATTCCATCCTGGCTCCCTTGTGCTCCTATCTCCTGGCCCTGGAGCAGGCAGACACAGTTCTTCCAGGGTGAATCCCACCACAAATGCAATGAGGTGAAGCACTCAGGCTTTGCCACTTGGTCTTTCCTGGCACTTACTGTTTCTGGTAGATTCATATTAATCCCTAACCTTCATAAATACACATCCTACAGACAGATCTTAAACTGCCACTTCTTGACAGTGAAATATTCCACTTTCTACGAACCATTCCTAATTAAAACTGCTTAAAATTTACCTGTGTGTGCCTTTCCTCCTGCAAGCCAAGCCCGTGGCAAGGTGGAGTGAGGAGCAGCAGAGGCGGCTGGCTGCCCTGCCCCCCTCGCCTGCCGCAGGAGGCACAGAGCCATCAGGACGCCGAGTCTCCAGGCAGACATGCCAGAGCAAACCTTCTCCACCTCCAGTACAGTCCCCTCGGTGCTACCTTCCCATCGTGTTGTTTTCTTGTGTGAAGCTGGAGGAGCTGGGGAGGATGTGGTGGGACCGCAGGCAGGGCACAGCCTGGCTTCCTGGGCCGGCCCCGGCAGGGCTCTGCCCATCAACAGGAAGGAGCCGAGGTGAGAGTGCTTTGGAGGAAAGTGTGAAGATTGCAGCACTACGCCCTCCAGTGTAACCAGCTGAGCTCTCACAGGCCACCTGCCAAAGCTGTGTCTGCTGAGCTATCCCCCTGAACACCTGACCTTTGGAATTTACCCGTGTGGCTGTGCAATATTAATAGAAAACAAATAAGGTTTTGTTGCATGAGATACCTGATAGTAACCTACACTAATAAACCCAGTAATGGAGCAGCAGCAGGTGACAATATGTTTGTCTCGTGTTTAATCACAGGTTTTCTCCTAATTTGTGTTACCAGGCTAAGAACATTTTTAAGAAGTTAGGGAATTACTCCACTTTACAGATAGGGGAAGTAAAGTGCAGAAATGGGGCAGGGATCTGCCCCCTGCACAGCGTGGGCCAGTGAAAGGACATGGACCCTTCTGATAAATTTATTGAGTGCCAGCCCTGCAGTTTCCTTATGCCTCAGTTACCCCTTATCAGTTATTTGTCATCAACCCATAAATATCAGCCAAGATCAGGACCAGTTGCCAGGACTGTGCCAACACATGGATGGTTCTTGGCCCCTGCACGGCTTAACTGATGGGCACCTTGGCTGCTGGCCTTGGCATTTGCAGCTCTGAAACTCGGGAGGTGTCGTTGTGCTCAGCACATGGTCCTGTTAGACTCCAGAGCTCAGCTGGGACAAAGCTCAGCTCCTGATCTGCTTCTTGTACTTACAGCCTCACACACCTTCCTAGAGCAAAGCTGTGGAGACAGCAGTTTTGTTCTCTGTGCATCAGAAGCAGGGAACATCTGGGTTCAGCCATGAGCTGTGCTGCCCAGTACAGTGTGCCCAGGCCTGTCACATTATGTGTGGCAACTTCATTGGCCCCTACCAAAGAGGGACATGGCTCTGCCACTGCATCCTGTGCACAGAGAGAGCTGGGGAAAAACCAGCTGCATCCACTGTCCTGCTTGGGTGGAACTTCTGCTCTCCTGCTCTTCTCATCCCTAACACCAGCACAGAGAAATGGGGATTTTCTGGGTCTTCTGCAGAAGGAAAACTCACCAAGCCCAGCAGACAGCCTGTTGCTGGACCTCTGCACGTCAGGTTCTGGGTACTAAGTGACAGAAGAGCCAGTGGAGCAGAGTTTGCACTGGCAGAAGCCTTTCTGTTTACCACAAAGGTGTCAGATGTCTCATTTCCCTGGACACCATTGGACTGAAGCCATAGGAGGAGACAGTTCCAAGTTTCTTCAGTCACAACTTTCTCCAGAAATCTCCATCTCTTCTTACCACAGGCTTCAGTTACCAGTATGGTTCTTGTTCCTTGGCTGTTTTGCTACTTCTGCTTAATTTCTGTGAAGTTTCTCATGCAAAATGAACTATAATCCTTTACAAGCAAAAACCCCAAAGCTAAGGGTCAGGAGGGCCCTGGGTCTATTCCCCTGCAGCATCCAAACTGCAGGGCTGGTACCAGCACAGCTCTTGCACTTCCCGTGGCAGCCTGAACAAACAGGAGGCGTTTCCAGGGCCAGTCTCACTGAGGTTCTGCTGAGAGCCCTCGGGCAGCTTCTCTTAGAGGTGACGTGTGACTTTTGGTAAGCGTTTGCAGGAGGTGAATCTTCCCATCATCACTGCTTCCTCTGAAACATCTCCCCTGAAATCTGGGTTCCACCAGACTCTGGCAAAACTCCCTCTGATTTTAGCATGACTGTGAACCTGTCCCAGGGAAAACAAGTGTTCTGCTGGGAGCAGACTGGGAGGGGTGGGGGAGGCCCGTGCCACGAGGTGTCGCTGCCTGTCAGACAAACTCTGTTCCTCCGAGCGACAGCTCTCAGCTGGACCTGCTAAAAGTCTTGGCAAGCTTCACCAAAGCTCCTTCCAGCCTCTGCATGGCCGAGCACCCTCTGGTACAGTGGCATGCATGAGGATTTTCAACAGCATCCTCTAATGGCAGGCACTGGGTTTGTGTTGTTGATACCAAAGTTTTGCTGTCCTGCCCATCTCTGGCCACGGGTGCCCTGGCAGGACACGGATCAGCTGCTGGTAGGAGCAAGGAAGATTTGGCACCCACGTGTGAAGGGCAGGGAGCACCACTGCACCCATGGGTGTGCTGGGGTGACTTGTGAGGACTGCAGGAGGGCAGGTGAGGCTGCTGGCTGCTGCAGAGGACAGGACCTGGGAACAGTCACCACTGCTGGGCAGCTCATCCCACTGTTCTCCCACTGGTTTACTCATGTGGAGCATAAATGCACTGGGATGGGGTTGTCCTTCCTTAGTGCAGGGCCTCGTCTGTAGGTGGCTCTTTTGTGATACCTGGGGGACTCTCAATTTGCCACTTCTTGCCCCTTTGCATGCAACAGATGATTCAGACCACGAGGGCAAACCCTGCAACCTTTCCTGAGTCAGACTGACTGATACCTTCCTCTGAGGAGGGGCACTGCAGGAAGTGCAGCCTGAGTCGTGTGAGGAGAGCACAGTTTGGGCTGTGCTCTGGTTTTGTGACACCTTTGGGAGCAATAGGCAGCATAAAGGGCTCTCAGCCCAGCTCCTTCCTTCTGCTCGTGCCCCACGCAGGAGTTGTCCTGACAGAACTGTGAGTGCTGTGCTCTGGGAGTTTGGGAAGACAACAGGTCCTGTTGAGAAAAAAAGAGCTTTAAAAAATGTAACTGAGTGTTTCTGGTAGAAATGGCAGCAGGGGAAACCAGACCCCCAGTAATCCATAAGTGCAGCATCCTTAACATTCCCAGTGTGCTTTTATGTTCCTGTCACCAACATACTGTGTGAATACTTCCAGTATTCCTTAAAATGTGAAATAACCTTCACGTGGAGCCTTCCACAGCTGATTTTTGTCTCTTTCTGAAATGATAAGAGCTTCTTTTTCTTGAATGAAACAAGAAGACATATTTGGAGGAGATTTCTGTTGAAACATGGGAAAGTTTCAACTCAGCACATTTCAGAGAGAAGGTTTTCACATTCTGCAGGGCAAAAATCATTGTTCTCTAGCAGCTCTCAGTCCTGTGCTGGGTGGGATTCCTCAGCCTAAGAGAATGTTGCAGGCAGGGAGAGGAGGTGGCAGTTGTCACAGGCATTCTGGACACCAAAAGTCTCAGGGAATGAGGGCAACATTTCCCAGTAGTTCTCACTGGATGCTTTGAGACATTTCATACAGGAACATGATCCAGATAAAAATGATGTTAAAAGGAGTTTTTGCCTAAGATCTTTGTAAATGAGTGACTAAGGCCTTTAGTCATTCAGACTCAGCTCTTTAAATGGTCTTTTCCTTTCCTGTTGTTTAATTAACTTCTCTGCTTTGCTAAGGGTGTGATGCTGCCAGCACCCGCTCTCTGCTCTGCTCCTGCACCTGAACTTGCTGCCCCTGTGCCCCGTGCTGGATGAGTGCTCACAGCTCAGGAGTCCCCCCATACCCTACGTACCATTCCTCAAAATTTCTCCATAAAGTAGCCTGATATCCCTCTCAACATGGATGTGTCCACAGGGGCTGTGCAGACTGAGGCACGGAAAAAACGAGTGACCTCCCAGTAACAGTTCTGAACTGTGAGTCCAAGGCTTGGCAGTGGCAAAGTACCATCTTTGACTTGGGAAGCAACCTGCAGAGCTTCCCAGCAGAGGGGCAGTCATCACCAGGGTGAGATTGCTTTTCTTGGCTTAATGTCTGTGTTTCTGGAGGTGGTGGAGCTGATGTAAGCGTGGTGGCAGAAGTGTGCAGCGTAGGCCTGTCTTCAGAGCTGGGCAGAGCAAAACCCCAGGGCAGGAGAGGAGTTTTTCCTTCAACGTTTCTCACCACCTGTTTGGAGAAGCGAGTGAGGATGGCAGAGTCTGCAGAGAAAATGCTCATTAGCCCCAAACTAAACAAAAAACGTCATCTGCAGTTGACAGGGAGACTTCACCCAGTTCCAGAGCTTTCCCTGGAAGCTGTTTGTAATTTTTGTGGAGAACAGACTGTTCTTCAAGGAAACCTACGCTTAGGGGAGGGGCAGAACATTTTCAAACAACTCAAAAGTCACCAATTTTGGAAACTTCCTCTCCTGTCCTGAGTTTCTCAGTCTGAGAGCAAGTTTGGACCTGAGGTTTGGGGATCACTCAAACAACCTCCATCTCTGTGGCAGTTTTTCAGCCCAGCTTTCCCTTCTCTCTCCCTGTCATGTGCAGGTCTGTAGGACTAGTTGTGTGGTAAAGGCATTTGTACCATCCAGGAACGTGGAGTGTGGAAACAGCCACCACCCCATGAGCAGCAGCAGCTGTGGCTTTGGCAGCAGGGTGCAAGGCACACACTTGAGAGGAGGAGATCTATCAAGGTGACAGCCTGAGACCATAAACACCAAGGAGCTTTAGCAACAAGCCTGATCCTGGCTTTAGTGAACTAGTTGGGTGAACTTGGACCTTCTTGCATAGGGTGATCTTTTTGTTGAAGGCTTAGCTCTGACCTGGAACTGGGGGCACTTGATCTTCTGCAGCTCAGGAGGGGAAATATTTTCCTCCTTGTGCTTTAAAACTAGCCTGACATACAGGCTGCTGAGTGTTTGATTTGATGGAAATGATTTTGAAAGGTGTAGGAAAGCAAATATGGGGAAATGATGGAATGACCAAAGAAAGAAAACATTGGAAATTAAGAGGTTAAAAAAATCTGCAATGCTGAGAAATGCCAGATGGTAAAATAAAATACAGCAGTGTCCCTTTGACCCGGACAGGCATCTGGGCAACCTGTCACCAGGAGGAAGAGAAGAGAATGGGCTTGATTTGTTTTTTAAACTGAGTCTGAAAAGACTTAAAATGAAAAGCAAAAGCATAGAATGTTCCCCATACAAGTGCTATG